AATCAGTCAGTTGCAACGTAGAACTTCGTACGTAAGTACATCAGTTCATGTTGCCATACCACGTTAGCATACAGATGCAATTGTCAATTCAAATCCCATAGTGATAAAGATAGTAGAAGTATTACTGGTAATGGAGAAGATTAGGATTTAAAGATATTATTCAAGCAGTATAATTCAGTGAGATAAGTTTGGAAAGACAAAAGTAGAGGTGCTGACAATTCCAGAAGATTAGGATTTGAGAGAGCTCAAAAATGGATGCACTTGCGCCATTGCAAACGATTTTGAGCAATGTCATTCAAGGTCTCTAACCATCGGTGACTCTCGTCTTGCGGACCCCAACCAGGTAGCCTACATCTATCAACATCACCCAGTTCACTTGTCAGTGACTTCATGGATTTCTGCCATGTTTTGGTCTGGCCGCACGTAGCTTTCTTCCAACCTATTCCTACATCGCAAACCATGGCTCGTTGAGGCAGTCGGTGGTTAGGCATGCGAAACACGTCCCAACCAACTCAACTGATGAAGTTTCAATACTTCATCTATTGATCTGCCATCCTTACCTAGTACTCGTTTCCTAACGACAGCATTGCTTACTCGGTTGTCCCAGGATACACGAGCAATGCTTCTAAGATATCTATGATCGAATACTAGTAACCTACGAACATCTACTCATAACGGCCATGTTTCGCATCCATATAAGAGAACGGGGCGAACTGCTGCGCAGTACACCCGTCCTTTGGTTAGCAAACGGATATCTCGCCTACGCCATAAATGACGAAGGTTGACAAAAGCCAAACGAGCTTTCTGTAGCCGTGCTGAGAATTTGTCAGTCACCAGGTCATTAGCGCCGATGAAACTCCCCAGATAAGTGAAGCGGTCTACACGCTCGACTACTTCACTCCCTATCACTACTTCGGGTGCCGGTGCAACCCAATCTTGGAGCAGCATTTTGCATTTCGAGGGTGAGAATCGCATCTCGAACACGCTTGCACTGTTATTTAGGGTAGTCAGAAGACTGCATTTTGTCAGTGACTTCACAAAGTAGAACTATGTCATCGGCATATTCCAAGTCAACAAGCGAGTCTCGTGGTATAAGGTCTCTTTCTGAAAAGTGAGATGATGTTATATCTGGAAGTATGTCTATCACAAAATTAAACAACAATGGAGAAAATTGACAGCCTTGACGGACACCACTTGAAGTAAAAAATTTCGATGACTGTTCACCATAAGCTCTCACTCGACCTGTAATATTCGAATGGACAGCTTGTATAAGGTTAACTTACTTCTCTGGTACACCTTTCAATGGCAGACACTGCCACACAACCTCACGACCCACTGAGTCAAATGCTGCTTTAAGGTACAGGAAAACAACTGTTGTCGGACGTCTTAATGTCTCTGTGTCCCAGGACCTGTCGTAGTGTGACAATATGGTCCATACAGCTACGTCCAAGTCTGAAACCAGACTGGTTTTCTCGAGTCTGCTCTTCACGAGCTCTAGTTAGGCGTCTAAGTATTACCGAGGCTAACAATTTAGAAACTATATTAGTTAGACTTATTTCTCTGAAATGGTCTCTACAGGACTTTTGTCCTTTCTTGTAGATTGGGATAATTAACGACTGAGATCAGTCAGATATGAGATTACGTCCAGTTCCCAGATTCTACCTAGGATCTCGGTTAGTCTAACTGTTAAAACTGGACAACCATCCTTAAACATCTCAGGGGTAAGCGTATCAGGACGTGCTGCTCTACCTCCCTTTAGATTTCCGATAGCTTTCTCAACTTCACGTAGACTGGGAGGACTTAAATCGATTTGCCATTCAGGATGACCTGGGATCGTTGGAAACGGAAGTGTGGCTGAAAACCAGTTGAACTGGTCCCTAATGTGTTCTGCCCATCGGTCCAATCTCTTGGATTGAGAATGGATAATAAGACCATCCTTTTCCGAAAAAGTCTCACTCACATTCGAGTTCCTAATGCCGGTTTCTTTGATAAGGCTGAAAAGTTGTCTACTTTTGCCTATCGGCGCTGCCTTTTCCATCGCTTTTGCTTTCGCCACCCATCACTGTTCACGGTCGTTGCGCAGGATTTTATAAGTCTGCGCCTAAGCTGACTACGCTCTTCATCATGTTCAGAGTCAGGTGGGATGCGTTTTCGAGCATCCATCAGTTCGGTGGATGCAACTGAAATCCACGGCTTCATCCTAGCCTTATGGTTTACCTTGCTAACAGATATCACTGCTGTTTCCACAGCCTTCTTGATATCATTCCAACCTGACTCCGGATGGGAATCACTTGCATGGTCGCCTAACTGTTTTTCTAGTTCCTCCTGAAACATTTTTTTAGGTTTATTATCATTAAGTAAAGCCTTAAGAGGCTTCCTTACGGTGTCTATCCTACGTCTACTAAGCCTCAAACAAATATGAGCTTGCACTAGAGCATGATCTGAATCCAAACATGTGCTCCAGAACGAGCGACAGTCCTCATTGAACCCCTCTATCGGTGGCTGATGGCGATGTGATCTAGTTGAGTCCAACGTTGAGACGACTTTGGAGGTCGCCAGGTCAAATGATGTTTTTCCTTATGCTTAAAATTAGTGTTTGCTAGAAACAGGCGGTTATCTGAGCACAGTTGCAACAGACGGTCGCCATTGTCTGTTGTTTGAGCCGCGATACCATAACATCCACCCAGGTGTCTTTCATTTTCACTTAGTCTACCTACTTGAGCATTAAAGTCACTAGCCATTATAACTATATCAGAGCGCTTAACTTTTGGAGGTCCGAACGCTTTCTGTAAAACTCATCTTTTACATCGTCTGTTATTGCATAACGTATGCTCTCTATGAAAGTAAAGACACTAATCGTCTCCTTCCAAAATGATGGAACGCAGCTGTAGAAACCTTCCTAAATAGCCTAGTCAATTCGCTAAACAGAAAGTCGCTACATTTCGGAAGCAGAGCTTAGGGTAATTAGTCTGGACCTGGCGAATTGTGGCACTTTACATGCTTTATTATTTGGTTATAACGGAAGCTACAGACAGTTTTCATTTATCGATCCGTTTTTAGGGGGAACAACCTCAGACACAAGCCATGGTAGCTGGTTACCAAAACCAGGTTTACACCCTTTGTTACTTTACGATCCTGCAGCGCCATTAGTTCGGAGTCAGGATTCCCAAACTTCTATAGGTGGATCGTCCGTACCTATCAATCTTTTTGAAGCACAGGACGTTCGCCTTCCATCCTCCCACTTTTGCCGGCAGCGTCGTGAGAAAACAGTGGTTTGGATTTCTCTAGGAGCGATAATAAACGCGTAACCATATGAAAAATTTCAGGAGAGAATCTAGCCACCGAAAATTTTGTTTCGACGTCGTTCCTCATTATGTTACGCAAACTTTTTCAGTTAATAATCTTTATACGAAGTCTATGGCATTTTTCAAGAATATCCAACTAAACAATGACATATATATTGTTAAAATCAGTGTTCCGAAACTACATACACTGTCGCTTCTTTTAGTTTTAAGAAAGCTGTTGTACTTATGGATTTAATTAATTAACTTGTAACTGAAACCAATAAGTTATATAGTTAAAAGTAGTATCTAGATCGGAAATTTAGTTAACACTCCAGTTAGAAAAACTTATTAAGGAATAAATTACTTATTACGTAATGATGAAATTAGTCTAAACTAGAAGCGAAGGTAATTATCATGTTGTGTTCATGAGTTTTTATCATTCTGCAGTTAATCGTACTTTGAGTTTTCATTAAATATTTTATAAGTACACTTATGGTTAACATTTTAAAAGTACATTCTTATTTCATTGTTAAAATACTGTGTAGAGGCAATTCATCGCGGTTCATTCCTTAAAAGAACAATATAAAGTGTATGAATATGACGAATATACTTACCGAAGTCATGTTAAACAGTCATACTGTATCACATAATGACTTCATTCGATCACATGTACGATGCATGCTAGTCTGTGAGGATTCGTTAGCAAACATCTGTGAATCATTTGGGATGATATTTAGCTACATACCCTACCATGTATAAAATTAGAGCTCACACAATAGTCATTCATAGTTCGTATGATAATAATAACTTACTAAACAGCACAAATATGTTAACACAGCGAGTGTAATGTAAGTTCAAAGTCAGTAACGACTGATGTGAACCCATAAGCATAGAAATAGATACAGGTTGATTGGAAAACGATAATCTTGTCAAGATAATATCAACAGAGTTAACAACCAATCATAATATGCTGCAAGTTATTTGAAATTACTCGACTAAGTTACAAAGTTTAACTTCAGGAATCTAGTCATTTGACAAGTTCTTGCAAGTGAACCCTACTACCTCATGAAACCTTCCAAAAAATTGTAATTTTCTGTAAATACAAACAGTACAATTTATTATGAATAATTGCATAATTTCCGTCGTTTTCTCATGAAAACACTACTGGAGAAAATATTCATCAACAATTTACTGGTAATAAGTCTATCCGAAAACTCAATTAGTGTTTGAGAGTATCCTTCATATATCCCAGTTGAGAATTTTCCGCACCACCCAAAATGAATCACGATTTACAATAACTTGAAATCATTGTTTGACAAACGTTTACTGAGCCCTAACGAAACCAGATAGACTGACTTAATATACTTTAGAATAATGTACTCTGTTCAACCATGCTTTTATAAGTTTCAGGAGTTGCTCTAGAATACTGAGGATGAACAACGACGAATTACGTCTTCAATAAAACCAGAGGGAGGAAGGTGTTATTTACAAATACTGTTTTCATAAGTCCCCACTCTTACAATGTAAAACTGTAAAGGTAAGGAAAAAGGCACAACTGACATACAATATCTTTATTAGTACAATGGAAATAAGAATCTTGGAGTAGATCAGAACAGAAATAAAAATTGTAGGTAAAATTAAACTGTAGAGAGGTATAAATGCAAATATACATAAACTGATTAGATCTTTTCTTCCTCTTGATGTGTGCTTAGTTGTTTAAACCAATTTCTCGGAGTACCGTGATACAAAGGTTGGAACAGAGAATTTCCGTAAACATCCTTTATAGTTCATATATCGTATTTTACCAAAAACAGGTCGCTCAGGCCAACCTTGATCATGAACGCCACATATTGCCCACATAATACCTATATGACAAGAGAAAAGCCTAATATGTTCATTCATTGTAAAGTTGTGGAGATTGTTGTTTTACAGTAAAATTGTTAGGCTACCATCAAAAATTTGGGAGCATCAGATGGCTGTTTCGTCCCCATATGGGACTCTTCAGTAGCGCACTGAATTAGGGTTTCGTAAAACAGGTTGATCGAGGTTAGACATGTACACCGTCGGATACCGGCTCAATGGTTTAGAAGTTAAGCGTTTGTGCGTGAGGCCAAAGTTCTTGGGTTTAACCCCGGCGAGGGAGGGTCGTGGATGTGCACTGCAAAAGACCCTCATACTAAGACGAAACGGCCGTCTAGTGCTTCCATGTTTTTAACAATGATTGATTCATGATTTTAATCGAATCTGTTTAGTTTTTTTAAGTCCAGAAGAAATGGTTTCTTGCCGTGGACAACTAGAAACATTTAATTAAAAACCACATGTGTGTGGGTACAAGCCGAACCATGTGAGTAGGGTAGGAATATATCACAAAATATCTATCCAATATAATCTGATAATTAGATGTAAAAATGAACTAGGTATTCATATTAATATGAAGTTCGTCAAAGTTTCAGACCAAACTAACCGACGTATCCATTTGGGTCTGTCCCATCTAAACTGTAACGATCATTTAAGTATATTGCTATTTGAATAGCCGATTCTGGACCTTCTGCACACCATTCAAGTATTTTTTTGGCCCAATACTGGCGTAGAAACCAATGCATCTTGCCTTTGAGCACTAACTGACGTTGGGCTGCATTCCACAGATCGTCATTAGTTTGAGCAGTTTCCAACTGATTTTTACTGTACGCTGGATCTCGTTTGTCTGTTGAGTGTTTCATAAGTGATTCACGTGCCCAGTCATATGCACCTACGTAAGGATCAGGCAAAGCAAACTGTTTGGTTTAGTTAACATTATTTAGAACCTGATAACTATAATTAACTTATTCATAACAACATAACTAACATAATTATAATTACTGTTCATAACATGTTCGAATAAACTTATGATAAATCCAGCAACATTCATCAACAACAAGTCATCAAAACCTCTTTACAGGGTGATCAATAATCAGTAGACTGATGGTTGACAGTTACTAACCCCTAAATAATAGTTTTATATTTTATTACCATACAATTGTTGACAATGTTTAAATAAAGTAGTCTTCGTGTAGAGGGTACATAATACGCGGTCGTTATTTATTCAGTAATATAGACAATGTACGATATGTCATAAATGTATATCTGTTTAAGTTACATTATATTTTTGATAATGTTGTTAGTAAAGTTGAGTTTAGTAAAAGTTGTGCGACTGTAAGCAGAACGACTTAATACGTGACTAATTATTCTCTTTCTCAAACTGTTTTCTTAATCGCCTTTCTACTGTGGTGCCGTTAGCAGTGATAACTTCGACCTGCTTATTATGTCGAACCTTAGTGCTATTAATGAATCAACCACTGTTTATTAAATATACTTATATATAATTACTTAAAACAGGATAAACACTCACAAAGTAACATACCTTGAATCGAATCATAGAAAGGTGTGTGGAAACAAAAATTATCAGCCAACTCTCTTCTGTTAAAGCATTCTTCAACAAAGATATCAGCCGATCGTCCGAAGTGCTTTTGAACAGCAACTACTTCAAGAACAGCACGCTGAGGAGCAATCTGACCTTAATATAAATCCAGCAAGTAAACTGGAATTACGCGGAAAAATGATATAACATTTGAAAACGGAACAATCATGTGGTACCTTATGGGAAAATCCAAACATAAACGGGCTATTATTAGTCGGGTAATCTATAATTATCAGTTATAAAGCTTTGTACAGTATTGCTTATATTTCCTATGGTTAGTTAGTTGTTCGCAACGTCACAGTAACTGGATTAGAAAGCATAAACAAAACGAATTTCAAGTATAAAACTAGCACTTTGAATTAATAAAGGACAACAACATACTACCATAAAGTAAAAGTCTGTTGAATTAGATCACCACAATTCAAAGTAACAAAGTGAGAGAGGAACCAACAACAAAAGTATCTGTAATTGAAATATACTAAATAATGGAGAATCCCCACAGTTCGTGTACCGTAAAAATAAAGTGCATTCTGGAAAATGTAACGGAAATTTCACTAGATGAACTTTTAGTGGTTTTCATGCATATTTTTCAATCTACATCAACAGTTTGATTATTCAAGTTTACTAACCAAAATGTAACCAAGGTGACAATCCACTAAGAGCTGGATGAGCAGGATCATTTCTATGAGGGTCAAATTTTTTCAAACGTTTGCTGATAAATTCATACAGAACTTGTAAACCAGCTTGAGTTCCAGGTACAGCCCAATCCACAGGTTTTACACTTTTGTCACCAACATAATCAGATAAAATTAACTCCCAATTCACAGGCTAAAAATGTTGATATCAAGAAAAAAAAGATAAAAATTACCAAACACTACCCAATAAAATTGCAGGAACAAACAATAGTACTTATTATTTATTTGCAAGTCATTTAGAATATATTTATCCCTAGGCTATCAAAGTACAGTCTTGGTTCTAAACACACTATTTGGCTTTTACAATTTTATCTTTTCCTAAAAACATAAATTGATACACAGTTGGTGCGAAAAACAGAAATTAAACAATCTATCGAAGGAAAAGATGAAGGCGAAAAAATGGTACAAACCGAACAGTAACTAGATTCGATGAAGTTTAACTGCATTCATAAAAAATGTACAGGCTTATGATTGGCGAATAGACAAGACGTTATCACACCAAGGTCACACCAAATTGAGGTGATTGGCGTTTAATAACAATTTTGGTTGGCTTGTTTGTCAATCACACTTAACCATTTGTTATCTGGCCTTTAGATACCTAAAGCATGGACTATATTGGTTTGCTACTTTGGTTGAGTAAATGACATCATTCAGTTCATTTACATAGATTTTAAGGACATGATATATTCATGGCACCGATTCTAGACTAGCGTTTTTGTATCTGGACTTTCTGTTTTCAGGATATCAACTGCGTACTTTCCAGGCATTATTACAGGGGACGAAAATTCATGTAAGAAATAAATGGAATTTTAGGATAGATCTTCCTAAATTTCATTTCTCTAAAAGGAGGCAATGCTGATCATCCTAGGGAAATACCTACACATCAATAAACCCCAGTACAGTCATCGGCCTGACGTTATTCTGATGGCTGCATTTTGCTAATTTCAGTTATACTGTTTTGTAACTGATCTGCATAGTAGGAGGGACCTCAAGAAACAACTGTCACTACGTCAAACAAGCGCAACAGCCCTGTTGAAAAAACTATAAATGGAGATTTAAAAACAGTTACGTTACGAGATTAGAAAATGGTGTAATAGGTGAATTAGTCAAAAAATTGGGATAAAAGTCAAGACAAACGTACCTGATGAAGGACAGTATTTTCACTTGAATAAGTATGCTCAATTATAGGTGGAAAGTCTGTTAGAAACTTTGAAGATTGTTCAAACAGTTTTGGTCTGATAGTTCGAGCAGAATACTCTCGTTTTTCTGATCCACACCAAACTGGAACAATATTATGGGCATCAACCTAGTTAGAAATAATTAACAATGACTATATGTTAGGACGCTTAAGCTACTGAAATGCAAACGTGTAGTAGAAATTCGGGTTCCAACTCTTTTTACAGGAGATAGTTTAGTAAGACTTTAGCTATTGTTACATATGCAGTTACAATAAACAAAATGCGAGAGTGGTTGCATAGGAAAAGACATTTGTAGCTAGATTTCCACTTATCGAATCAATCAACTCTTGTTATAATTACACAACTTGTAATTACTCGAAATTCCACAATTTTTAAAAGAAAAGAATTAAACTGGTTAAAACCATTAAACAAAAATCTAAAAGCCATTACTCCACATTAGCTACTCATTATATAATACTGTTTCATTGCACAACATATACTGAGCTAGGACAACCAAAGCATTAGACTTTTCTACCCCTTAATAAGTATTATTTGTAACTTCACGAGTGTCATTGTCATCTGAAAACCTTAAAACTCCGTGGTATAGACGGGGGGGGGTTGAGAAAAGCTTACTCGTTTTCTCGAAATCTCCTCACAAAGGCACATGTTTATAACCTCTGAAAGGACACTTCTATTAAATTAGGGTATTATTACAAAAAAAAAGATAAAAGGCGATGGCGGATACCTGGCGTTTGGACTAGGTTGGTGGTTATAGTCTGCCGAGAAGAAATGAACAGCTGCGACTACAAAACATTAGTGCACATGAACTCCAATATCTTGAAGAAAAAATGGCATACAAACTGATTTTGGTTACTCAGTACCATGGGGCTGCAATTTTTGGTGCTAATCTAGTACTTTGTGGATTAAATCTTTAAGTCGAAGGTTCGAGGAGTGATCCTCCTAAGAAAAAGCCACTTTTTTGATCGAGTGTCTAAGGAGTGACTCATTCAACAATATATGACCAGTTGATTTTTTTAAGGATATAAAGAACTTGATTATTGAATTCAGTAGGAAATAATAATAACAATAGTATCTATACAAATCTAAAAGCAAAATTCATGTTTAAAGCAAAGAAATATTTCACTTTTACGTAATAGAAGTAAGTTTCTTACTTCACAAAAAGGGATATTATTAGGTAGTTCATCCATAACTTTTTTTACCCATGAACGAGGTGCTCTTAAAGGACAGAAGTCTGTTATCAAGCATCCAATATTCAATAGTTTTACTAAATCAACAACTGACTTTGCAACATATGTTTCATAAAGAAAGTTTTCTTTGATTCGATCAGTTTGATTTGATAGAGCATTTTCATCAGACCATCTATGCTTGCATCCAGAAGATATATCTTCAAACTTATCAATTTGATTGGAGGTAATCAATAGATGAAATGGGATATTCAATGAACGACATTCCTAAAATGTAGAAACCAACAGAGGGTCTTCATAGATAAGATATACAAAAGTTTATTTCAGTCTTACAAAAAGTGCATTAACTTAGAAGTTAAAACTAAACTATTTATTTTTATTTTCTTATCAGTCAGTCAGTTGCAACGTAGAACTTCGTACGTATGTACATAAGTTCATGTTGACATACCACATTAACACAGAGGCGCAAATGTCAAATCAAATCCCATAGTGATAAAGATAGTAGAGGTATTAATGGTAATGAAGATTAGGGTTCGAAGATATTATTCAAGTATAATTCAGTCAGATGAGGTTAGAAAGACAAAAGTAGAGGTGCTGACAATTCCAGAAGATTAGGATTTGAGAGAGCTCAACGAATGGATGCACTTGTGCCATTCCAAACGATTTTGAGCCAAGTCGTTCAAGGTCTCTAACCATTGGTGACTTTCGTCTCGCGGGCCCCAACCAGGTAGCCTACATTTACCAACATGACTCAGTCCACTTGTCAGTGACTTCATGGATTTCTGACATGTTTTGGTTTGGCCGCCCCTAGCCTTCTCCCAACCTACGACTACACCACAAAGCATAGCTCGTCGAGGCAGTCGGTGGTTAGCCATACGTAATAAATGTCCCAACCAACTCAACTAATGAAGATTCACCACTTCATCGATTGATCTGCCATCCTTACCTAGCACCCGTTTCCTAAAGACAGCATTGATTACTCGTTTGTCCCACAGTATCTATGATCGAAAACCAGTAACCTATGAACATCTTCTACTCTTAACGGCCATGTTTCACAGCCATATAAGAGAACGGAGCGAACTGCTGCGCAGTACACCTGTCCTTTGGTTAGAGAACGGATATCACGCCTACGCCATAAATGACGCAGGTTGGCAAAAGCCAATCGAGCCTTCTGTATCCGAGCAGAGATTTCGTCAGTCACCAGGCTATCAGCACTGATGAGACTCCCAAGATAAGTGAAGTAATCAACACGCTCGACTACTTCACTCCCTATCACTAGTTCAGGTACCGATGCAACCCAGTCTTGAAGCAACATTTTGCATTTCGAGGGGGAAAACCGCATCCCGAACATGCTCGCATTGTTGCTTATGGTAGTCAGAAGACTGCATTTTGTCAGCGTCTTCACCGAATAGAACTATGTCATCGGCATATTCTAGATCAGTAAGCGACTTTCCTGGTAGAAGGTCAACCCCTGAAAAACCAGACGAGCTTAATGTTAACGCTAAGAGGATGTCTACGACAAAGTTAAACAAGAATGGAGAGATTTATTTTCTTATACAATGCAATAACGTCATTCTAACTAAGAATATTTTACTAACATTAAAATACTGAATAGAGTAAATATTTATAGACAGCCTAGTTAAAAGAAAATATAATGAAACTCTGTATCTGTCATTAATGAAGACATTCAAATTGAGATATACACATATCGTTCTCGTGCTCTACGTTTGTTCACTAAAAATACCAAACTTGTTACATCAGAAGAGTATAAAATAATAGACATTTTGCAATTTGATTATTTTTTCATAAATATTATTCAAAATACACTTAATCCAAACGATTTTGTGCTAAATAAAGGATCGAAAGTAATTTCAAAGTTAGATTTACTCGGAGCTCTTCTACAAGGCAATGTCTTCGTCACTAGACCACAGCGACCTGGAGCCCTTCTATGACTACTGACGGTCCAAGTTAGGGATTAAGAGGGAGAGGAGGGTATAGGATCAGCAACCTCATCCTGTAGAACATAACCTTGACAGAAGTTGCTAACCAGAAAAAATCATTTAAATCCTATCTCAGAAGTTGGAGGGTCATAATTTAAAAGATTTATGACGCCTCATGGTGAAAGCCGAGTTTGTTTGAAGGTAACCACATCGATGCTCCTTCTAACAGACTGAGCTACAGATAACATGGATATATTGATTGTCAGCACGATGCGAGAGGTCAGGAGGATCACTTAGGTAGCTGTTGAAATTGCAAGGTGCTAACCTTGCTCTACTTGAATGAATGAGGCACAAGTTCAACAGAAAAAACTAGCCTTAGGAGAAGTTCTGTTGTATTCTGACCAAGAATACGATGCCTCACACACACAAGCGAGAGAACGAGAAAACAGTAACAGTCGACATCAGCCAGACAAGAGCAGAGAAAGCCAAGAGACATGTCGAATACACAATGCGAACAAGTAAAGAGAAGCATAGGAGCTAATAAGCAGAAAAAGCTGCAAGAAATATGAAACAAATATATGATACAAGGAAGAAACTAGCGGGTGAATATGGTAAACCAGAGATCTTCAATAGACCAGCCTCATCAAAACAAACGGACAATTAAGCAGCACATACAGATCTTCCTATACATGTTGCCTTACTAACGACCAAAGAAATTATCATGGTCCATTGATAAATCAAGGGTGACAAAGCAGCGAGATCAGACAGTATACTAACTAAAGCACTGAAGCCAGGTATGTAACTGACTGTAAAGATGCTTTATGTTCTCTTCAGAAAGATTTGAGAGGAAGAACAAGTATCAACAGATGGGAAAGAAGGATATCCCAAAGAAAGATTTCTTGTGAAAACTACAGAAGCATCATTCTACTTTCAGTACCATGAAACATTTCCGATAGTGCATTGATGAATTGAATGAAATGTTCCGTAGATGTTCAGATTCCAGACTAATAGCCTGGATTCCGTAAGGACCGATCGCGTACCGACCAGATTATGACACTGGGCATTATTGTTAAACAATCAACTGAATCGAACTAATCACTACACGCCAGCTTCCTTGACTATGAGAAAGTACTTGATGGAATGAATACTATATAACTAAAAAAGTAACTTACTTGTTCTACTTCAGCTAGTCCACCAATCATAAATGAGAACTGCCTCAAAGTATCAGCTTGGTAAGCAGGAACCAAACAAAAACAGACTTGCAATGGAACTTCAAATTTCATTGCTAGACGTTGTGCATAAATAAAAGCCCAGTTATCTGAAATGTTCAGTAAGACAATAAAAACATCTTATCACAAATAAGAGAGACAATATTCTCATAAATTAAACAGCAGATTTAAAAATGAGCTATCAAATTCGTATCAGACAGACAGATACAACACAGAACTTCGTACGTAAGTACTTCAGTTCAGGTTGCCAGGCCCAATCAGCACAGAGACGCAACTGTCAGTTCAAATCCAAGAGTGATAGCAATAATAGAAGTATTAGCAGTAATGGAGAAGATTAGGGAGCGAAGATATGATTCGAGAAGTATAATTCAGTAAGATAAATTTAGAAGGAGGAAGGTAGAGATTATGAGGAATGCAGAAGGTTAGAATTAAAAAGTACACAAAGAGTCGATGCACCTGCACCATTGCAAACGATTCTGAGCAATGTCGTTCAAGGTCTCTAACCATCGATTATTATCATCTCGCGGACCCCAACCAGGTAGCCTACATCTACCAACATGACACAGTCCACTTATCAATGACTTCATGGATTTCTGCCATGTTTTTGGTCTGGCTGCCCCTAGCTTTCTTCCAATCTACTCCTACACTACAAAGCATAGCTTATCGCGGCAGTCGGTGGTTAGCCATACACATGTCCCAACCACTTCAACTGATGAAGTTTCACTACTTCATCTATTGATTTGCCATCCCTACTTAGAACTCGTTTCCTAACGACAGCATTGCTTATACGGTTGTCCCATGATACACGAGCAATGCTTCGGACACCGATGATCGAAGACTAGAAACCTACGGAAGTCCTCTACTCTAAACGGCCAAGTCTCGCATCCGTATTGTAGGACAGAGCGAACTGCTGCACAGTACACTCGCCCTTTGGTTAGCAAACGGATATCTCGCCTACGCCATAAGTGACGTAAGTTGGCAAAAAAGCCAGTCAAGCCTTCCGTAGCCGTGCTGAGATCTCGTCAGACACTAGTCCATCAGCACTGATGCGACTACCAAGATAACTGAAGCGGTCGACACGCTCAACTGCTTCACTCCTTATCATGAGTTCAGGTGCCGATGCAAACCAATCCTGAAGCAAAATTTTGCATTTCGAGGGTGAGAATCGCATCTCGAACATGCTTGCACCGTCATTTAGGGTGGTCAGAAGACTGCATTTTGTCAGTGACTTCACAAGGTAGAACTATGTCATCGGCATATTCCAAGTCAACAAACGAGTCTCGTGGTATAAGGTCTCCTTCTAAAAAGTGAGATGAAGATAATGTTATATCTGGAAGTACGCCTATCACAAAATTATACAAGAATGGAGAAAATAGACAGCATTGAAGGACACTACTTGAAGTGAGGAATTCCGATGACTGTTCACCATAAGCTCTAACTCGACCTGTAATTTTCGAGTGGAGACCTTGTATAAGGTTAACTTACTTCTCTGGTACACCTTGCAATGACAGACACTGCCACACAACCTCACGACCCACTGAGTCAAATGCTGCTTTAAGGTACAGGAAAACAATTATTGTAGGACGCCTAAATGTCTCTGTGTCCCAGGATCTGTAGTAGTGTGACAATATGGTCCATACAGCCATGTCCAGGTCTGAAACCAGCCTGGTCTTCTCTAGTCTGCACTTCTTGAGCTCTAGTTAGGCGTCTAAGTATTACCGAGGCTAACAATTTGGACGCTACATTAGTTAGACTTATTCCTCTGAAATGGTCTCTAGAGGACTTTTGTCCTTTCTTATAAATTATGACAATTAGGGATTGAGACCAGTCAGATAGGATTATGCCCAGCTACCGAATTCTACCTAGGATCTCAGCCAATCCAAATGCTAAAACTGGACCACTACCCTTAAAAATCTCAGGAGTTAGCTTATCAGACCCTGTTGCTCTCCCTCGCTTCAAAATTCCGATAGGTTTTTCAGCTTCATAAGGTCTCGGAGGACTTAAGTTGGTTTGCCATTCAGGTTGGATGGCGATCGTGGCCAACCGAAGTGTGGTTGACGGTCAGTTGTACTGATCCCTAAAATGCTCCTCCCATTGATCCAATCTCCTGGGTTGAGAATGAATGATACAGCTATTCTTTTCTGAGATAGCCTCACTCACATTCGTATTTCTTATAGCGGTTTCCCTGATAAGTCTGAACAGTTGTCTACGACCAAATGTGATTTTCCAAAACAAATATATTGAATACCGCTTTGGTTTGTAATATTTACAAAAAGATGAAAACTTAGCCCCTGAAGAACCTAAAATTCCAAAGTTTATCACTACTCAAGAATAACACTAAAAAAGCAGTAGCTGTTTCATGGAAGGGTGATAATATTTATATATCTTACTTATACTGTCTCAGGTAGTCAGTTTCCAAGGTTTCCAGATGCCGTTGGGAAAATTACTGTAATAGACAAGCAAGGATAATTTCGAGTTTGGACACTGTGTTCTAAAACATTATATCGCAACATTATAATGCCTAAATATAGGGAGCGGTAGCAGAGTATATGCATAATCCAATAAATGAAAATTGAGTGGTAAAACAAATTTAGATCAACTTTGTACGACGAACAAAACGTAAAAACATTGTTTTTATAAGGAGGAGGTATTCAGGTTGATCGTCAATATAGTAGAACATGATTCATTATGACTTTAAAAATTAAATATGTCAGCTTATGAGACCCGGATCGAACAATACAAATGATTTCTTTCAAATTTGTTTATATTAAGCATTAGGAAACGTTCATATCTTCATTTTATATTACCTTGAACTCTTTGATCACGCGACATCCAGTAAAGTACTCCACCTTTTCCGAGTTTGTCATCCTTTTCTGGGAAAGTATCTGGCCCGGATAAGTGTCTTATCCTCGACTTATGAAATTTAAATTTGTCAGCAGAAATGGCGGTTGAACGACGTTTATTCTTTATAGCCTCGAGCCACTCGTCTAGTGTTTTAGCAATCGCGGCCATTTTTAAGCCTTCTATTAACTAAATAATGTAACAAGACTCAAGCAAGAGACAGGCTTACGTTTGTACCACTATTTACTTTACTTTCAAAACCAGGTATGTTTGATACTTATGCAAACTAATCTATATCTTATAATAACGTTCGATAGTAGGAAGGTTTCCTCGATTTCAGAAAGAAGCACGAACACTTCTACGAAAGTTGCTGATTATTGCTGCAGGTCACGTGTTATATCTTCAAGGTCAAACGATGCCTCAAGGACAGTACTCTAAACGCTTTGAAATACGCTCTCTAATCACTGTAACCTGACTTGAATGCAATGAATCAATTGCTCAACAGAATCCGAATGTCAATCTCTAACTACTCGTTTACCGCCGTTACTATGTGCGATCTCTGATCTCTACCATTAATAATGTCATGTAAGTAGTTAGCTGTAAAGTTCAATATATAATAGATTGGTATGGGTCCTTTAGAAGCTTTATTTAAACACACAATGGAATTTCTCGCTGCACAAGGTCTTATATGCTACAAATCACTCGCTTCCGTAAACGGTAATCATAACAGTCATCTGATATAGTTCTTTAGGCTAATCCTCTTCCTTCTTTCATTACAACATTCATCATTCTTTGTCTGATATATTCATCAACATCGACAAGTTTTGAACCTGAATGACCTGAGTATTGTCAAATCCGAGACGAAAATACAGATGCCGTGCAATTTTCTTGTTAAAATTTTATGAATATCGTTGATTCTTTCAATTAACTTAGTTCATTACTTCAATCTTTATTTCGTCCATCAAGATTTTCATTACGGGTGACGTCATCGTTAACTTCTTACAGATGGCAGTTTTCGAACTTTTCTGCAAATATTTTTGTCTAGACCAAACGTAACTCTCAATGCACTAGATAACGAAAAAAGCCATACAACCTCTTGTTGTTAATCTAACGTTAAATTGATTGTTACATTGTTAGCTTACAGGTTAAAAATATTGATGAAATTCTGGGAACACAAAAGCTGTCAGGCTGTCCATGAAATGAACACGAACAAGAACGACGGTAACAGTTTCAACAATGTTGTGTAGTTATCCAAAACATCACTACATGAAATACTAAAATGATACAACTTAATCGTCGAAAAACAAAGGTCTATAAATTTATATGAATGAAAAAAGTTCGTAGTACTTATCCGGCCCCTGAACGGCGAAGATTTCGACCAACTGACATGGAATCATCCGTGCACATGAATTAAATTTACGTTTGAACATAGTGGTAACTTAACTAATAGACTCATCTTTGAACAAAAGTTAATCATGATGGACCAGCCTTACCCAACCACTATTGGCCGAATACAAGCCTTCTTTTTTACTGTATATTCAACTTCAAATTCGATGTGGTTAGGGAACAATATAAATGCAGGTCATTGTAAATGAATTGATCATAGTTTATTGACACAAACATACACCTTCGCAGGATTACCAAGGTAAATCTTGATAAATCCAGAATCCAGAAAGAAGACTGTTCTGGATGAAGAAGTATATTCATTGCTGGCCTCGTGATATCGAAATGATATCAAGACCAGAATAAAGAAGCGACTAACAACCACCGAGGAGAGGAGCGGAATGAGAAATACACGCTTGGCGTGTGTACAGTCAAACAAAAGGAGTACAATATAACAATTACTGTCAGAATTAAATATAATAATAAATGTTTCAATTTCAACAGTTGTGTTATCTTCGTAAAAGTATACCAATACATTAACCCTCCCCCTACAAAGGGATTACACTTTCGATACATAGCGGTGTCGTGCGAAGGAGTTGAGGAACAGCGAGCGACCAATGAAGCTCGAGCTGTCACCGACAGTCTTTTAACTTGACTGTACCAGTAGTGACGTGCATAGTTTGGTGCCCGCGCAGGCATGCCACACCAGCGTGGCTCGTATCGAGAGTCTGAAGTTTGCGTTCTTAAGGGTTCAGACCAGAAAAAGCTGCAGACGTAGGACGGAACCAGATTGAGCGAAGGAGCCAGAAACGACCGGAACGACCAAGTTCGAAACCATACATATTGAAGAACATTCGAAACCAAAACATCGACTGAGTGCATTGACAAGAGCGTGAGCGATCAGGCTGGCTTTCACCAAGGTTGTCTGAAGTCGACGGTACCAACAGGGTGATGGTTGTAAACATCGGCTCAGTATACAAAGTCAAAGAAAAAGAGAAAAGTGTAGTGTAGGATAGTTTACTATCACGTATCCGTCGTCACCTAGGTGATTATTCGGGCAAACTCACAGGTAGGCGTACGCGGCGACCGGAACGCGAGACGGTAGTCTCGTGCGTACCTCATGAGCCAGCAATCACATCCTAAGTCAAGGGCGGAGTGGTGTGTTGATCTGGACGTGAGACCGGCGTCTCATCCGTAGATAGTGCAGATAGCGCGTGCCGTTGACTGGGACGTGAGAATGAGATCTCTGATTTGTCTAGCGTGGAGTCCAAAGTAGATTTAAGGATCATGACAGTAGGTTTGGTAGGTCTAGCACTGGGTCTCGGACTAGCAAGTAGGGCACTGTCATCGACGTGTGCTGGCTTGAGACCATCAATGCTGACTACCTCGACGCGGCCATGTCGAGCAACTTTGAAGGTCTTTCCATGACGATAAATCACGTGAAAGGTCCTTCGTAAGGCTGTTGCAAAGGTCTGCATACTGAATCGACTCGTATGAAAAAGTGCGAACAGGTAGATAACTCTCGAAGGGGAGCGACTTGTCGATTTTGTACTCCAGTTGACATCGGAGGCAGTGCTCGCGTATATTCAGAGAATCGTTGGACATAGTCTGATTTACTGAGGTTATCAGCGCTCCATCGTGTGAAAAATTCCCCAGGCAGACGCAATGTCACGTTGTATACCAACATCTGCCTTTAAGCTCGTTCTGATACTTAGGTGGACGAGCGGTAAGGTTTCGTACCAATTTTTGTTTTCGTGTGCTCGAAGCGTACTTCTAGGTTGGCGATGAGACCGTTCGACCGAACCACTCGAAGCTGGGTGGTAGGCGGCAATGCGTATGAGCTACGTACCAAGCAGCCGTGTTAGCGAGGAGAATAATGAGGACTCGGATTGTTGTCCTCGGTCAGTTGTGACAGTTGTGGGACAACAGTAAAGCGCTATCCATCGTTCTGCGAAGCGGTGAGCAACTGTTTCCGCCGTAACAGAAGTGGTGGGAATAGCTTTGGGCCATCTTGTGAAACGATCGATAAACGTATATGATCATACCCGCGCGATGGTGTCAATCATCCTACAATGTCAATATGAACATGATCGCAGCGAGCATCAGGCGTAGCAACTGTGCCGATAGGGGCGGCTACATGCCTGTGCACTTTTGATCGTTGATATTTTAAGCATTGCCTTACCCACGTACGAACATCTTTATTCATTGACGGACGGACGTATGAGACGTTATGTGGCTGCGATACCTGGATGAGATAATCCATGGGGGGCATCGAGGAAGAAATGACGATGATCAGAAGGTACAATGGGTCGGGGTAAATCAGTAGAGTTGTTGCAGAGGACAGTACCTGGGGTGGTAGCTAGTGGTACTTCCTGGCACTGAAGGTGTGTAGATTGTTGTGCTTCGGTACAAGAGGGGTCATTTGCTTGGGCAGCGTCCATAGCAGGAAGACCAAGCACCGGTTAGGTAACTGCATTCACTTGAATACGTGACAGAGCATCGTCAACATAGTTCGACTCGCCTTTAATATGACGATGGCCTCTTGTGAACTGAGACATACAGTCCTAATGTCTGTACTCCCGTGGTGAGTAGCGATCGGATTTGGTATGCAGAGCATATGTTAGAGGCTTATGGCCGGTGAATAGTATAAAGTTACGACCTTCTACTGGGTGCCGGAAATGTTGAATGACACAGTAGGCTAACAGCAGTTCGCGACCGAAAGCGCTATATCTCGTCTCTATGGGAGTAAGGCGTCGTGAGAAAAATTCGAAAGGTTGCCAACTCCCGGAAATGTTCTTTTGCATAACGGTTCCTATGGCGTGGTTGATGGGTCAAGATGGGCGAGAAGATTGACTTCAGCTAGAGCTTTTTAATCTCTAAAAATGCAGTATGCGCGTCATCGTTCTATTCTAATTTACGTGGATTACTGCGAAGTAAGTTGGTTAGTGGTCGTAACTGATCTGCCGCGTGAGGAACAAAACGTCGATAGAAGTTAACCAAACCGAGAAAAGCCTTCAGTTCCTCGAGTGAGGACGGTACAGTGTACTCCTTGATTGTATGCACTTTATCTTCACAAGGTATAATACCCTCACGATTAATGATGGGACCCAAGAATTTCATTTCGGCCTTGCCCAGTTCAAATTTGTCTGGGTTAACTACTATTCCATTATCCGAAAGGCGTTGGAATAAGAGTGTAAGATGTTGATAATGTTCATCTACGTTTGATGATGAGATCAGCAGACCATCAATATAGACGTGAACAAAAGCAAAGTCTCGTACTATGCTATCGATAAACGTTTGGAAATTTAGAGCAGTATTCCGTAATCCAAATGGCATTCGTAAGAACTCAAAAAGACCAAAGGGAGTCGTAATAGCAGTTTTCTCGATAACTTCAAGAGCGACTGGGATCTGATGATATGCTCGTACCAGATCAATCATAGAATATATAGTCGTGCCCTTGATTGATGCCGTGATGTCGTGTACTTGGAGGGGGTAGGATAGCTGTTGAAACATGTTGCTATGTTTAGTTCCCAGTATTCGCCACATGGTCGCCAACTTATCCCATCTTTTTTACGAAACATGTGGAGTGCTGAGGCCCAAGGACTATGAGAAGGACGAATAATACCTGTGGCTATTAAATTGTCAAACTCACGTTTAGCGAAAGCAGATTTGTCCGGTGCCAGTCGGTGCGGTCCCGCTGTGACTGGTGGTCCGCGGGTGACGATGTAGTGTACCATATGATGAGTCACCGATAGATTATCCTCGAGTGGTTTAGTTAGCTGGGGAAA